AGGTCCCAGCTTGCTTTCTAATCTGCAGGGGTCTTCAGGATTCAGCATCTTCCTGAGACTGCTGGCTTGTAACAGGCTGCACTTGCTGCTTGCCACTTAATTTGTCAGCTCTGTAGGCCCTAAGAAGTTGATTTTTAGCTGATGAAACTTTTTTCCTGTGTCACTTTGGTCTTTCCTCTCCCTCCTGTCCTTCAGTTCAGGATTCAAAAACTGCAGATGCTCTAAACTAAGCGTGACTCACACCTTCTAGTTTATTTTGTGAATTATCCAGCACATGATGCTGACGGGAAAACGTTGGGAGTAGAGGGGGTGGGGAGCAAGAGATGGTTTTTAAGACCCAAAAGGAAATGCTTGGAGCATGCATGTGTGGTCCCTGGGACATTGAACTGGCCGATTTCCCAGAGCACGGCATATGGGCCACGTGAACCAGGGGGGCCTTTGGGCCCTTCAGCGGATGTCAAAACACAGTCTAAGACTTCAGGCAGAATTGGGGTGTGTGTTTTACTGTAAGCCTTGCTTGAGAAGCCAGTGGGGTTTGACCTCTTGTACAGACAGTGCCGATTCCTGGACATTACCTACCTCTCTGTCACACACCTACGTACGTTCTATGTACGGGGCTCTGAGCAACCTGATCTGGTTAAAGCTGTCCCTGTTCACTGCAGGGGGGTTTGGCTAGGTGACCTCTAAAGGTCCCTTCCAACCCAAAGCATTCTATGATTGCTAGCAATGTCTGAGGCTGCCTTTGCTCCTCTGTTGTGGTTACCTCACCACTCTCTTTGAAGCAGTTTGGTGTTAGAAATGCTGAGCTATGGAGCTGAGGTAATGCAGGAGACAGCTAGTGAGGCAGGTGGCAGAATATAAAAAGGAAAAGGTTATTTCATGAGATTTTGCAAGTTGTTGTACCTAGAGACATTTTTATCTCAGCCATAAAGGCAGGGCTTGCAACCATGCTTGTGAGAGCCTCAGGTGCACTGATGCTTAGAAAGACACATTTTCAGGGCGAACTCGTACCAATGGAGAAGACTGTGCTTGGAGCTTGCAGTGAGGCTCTTCAGAATCCCTCAAGCAAGCGAGGTTCCTCTTTCATGCCACTGCATGGATTTTGCAGCCCACCACTGCTGCAAAGGACAATGTGTCCAGCCATGCTTTTGCCCTCATCCTCCTCTGCTTGCACCTCTGCCGTCTGTGGCAGCAGCTGGGATTCCTGGGCTGGCATTTCTGTCATTGACAGCTGTGCCAGAAGCACATATCCCAGGCCTGCTCCCTGCTGTGCCAAGGCAGATTGGCTTAATCAGACTATGGTAAACCTCTTGTTAATGTTTCACGCTCCACTGGACTTGCCAATTGTAGCTCCTGTGATTGCACCCCTGCTGCTTGTTTGACTGACTGACGGCTCATGGCCAGGGCTGGGAGATAGGAAGTCAAGTTATATTCGCAGCAGTGAACGAAATGTTAATCTTACCTTTCATTTTTTAGGCATACAGTTAGGTAATAACGAAACAGATTTCTTTCCCCTTAAATACAAAGCCTCTGGGAGAGGAGGAATTGTGAGTCTTTCCATTGTCATTGGGGCCATCCTATTTCTCAGGACAAACCCAGTGGTCATAATACGTAGTAATGAGTATGCTGGGGCCACGCTGAGACTGGGCAGGGGATGAGGACAAGTGCTGATGTAGCTTTATTTCAGACCATGCCTGGCTGGTCCACATCTGCAGTTATTTTGTAGCTGCCTCTTTGTTCGATGCATGTCTTTAGGGATGGAGGGTTGGTTTCCTTGGCTTCACTTGCAGCTGTGGTCATGCTTGACTCAGTGCCATGGGTGCTGGGTCTAGTCTGGAGGGAGTGCTCTGCACTTGCCATCACCCCCAGACTTGCTAGGGAGTTGCAGGTGTCCCCATCTCTTGCCACCTGGCTGGCTGACAGTGCTTGGTTGTGTTTGTGATGTTCTCATCTTCCTTTGCACATTGTTCTCGGGCTGATGGGACTTGGGAATAATGTGCTCAGATGAGTTAGAGGCAGACAGCCCAGCCAAGTTTCTGACAGTGACGAAAGGTCGTCTTGTGCTGTCTGCCCTGCCAGCAACTTCAGCAGCACAGAACGAGGGCTGTGTGCTTGAGCTGTCCCTTTGTGGATTTGTAAGAGCGGCTTAACGGAGTGTATATGCAGCCAAGTGGCTTCTTCAGCAGTGCACGAATGAATGCAAACATGTGAGCAAACCCAAGGCTTGCTGCTGCCCTGCCAGCCTCCTCTGCGAGGTATCCTCTGAGTTGGGGGCACCGTGGAGCCCAGACACTTAGGAGCTTCCAGTATGCACATCATGGATAGCCATCCCGTTCCCTTCTCTCTGTGCTGGATCTTGATGCGATAATCACTGTTTTAGGACCTGACCCCTGTATTCATGTCTAGGCCCTGCAACTTGGTGGCTCATCCCAGGGCGTTGTCCCCACTTGCTTTGTCCCTGATTGTTTAACTTTGGAGACCCATGGCGAGCCATGAGCAGATCTCTGGAGGAGCAGCTGGAAGAAGCAGGCCCACTTATATGACACAACAGTATATACACTTGGCCTTCTTATTTAAGGAGTCCATGCTTTCTTTAGGAAGTTTTCAGTGGCCCATCAATCAGAAAAGGTTAAACAATCATTGCTGCGTTGTAGGAATGAAGCTTACTGGAGGACAGGAGACTTTTTTGTGGGCTGGTACAAGACTCTGAAGAGCAGCAGTGTTCTACCACGGCCCTCCCACTTTCTTGCCTGCATGCCAAGCATGTTTCTGTCAATGTGTTTCTTCCCAAACAAACAGAGGAGTGTGTCTGGGTGTGGGTAGAATGGAGTAAAAAAAAAAAAAAAAAAAAAAAAAACAAAAACCCAAACAAAAAAAAACCCCAAAACTGAAGTCCTCCTCTGCATGTTTGCCTCTCTGGAGATGATGGAGCAAAGGTCTGCCAGCACCAGCAGCACCGTGACTGACAAGGCAGAGCTCGAATACTATGGGGATCAGAGCAGTGTATGAGCCTGTGCCGAAGGGAGTTGGGAAGGATGGGGTGCAGTTTCATAAGCATTTCTTACAGCAGCAATCTTTATGCAAAAAATACGCAGCTCTGAAATGTTCATTCTTGCTCCTGCGCTGTCCACCTTGTCTTGCTAGTACAGCTGTTTAGGCAGCTGTGTAGTAGACTTGCGCAGAGACCTATTGCAGCTAAAAATAAAATTTCCCTCCCTGCCCTTTTTTTTTTTCTTAACTGTCAGGAGCAAGTGCTGCTTCTTGAATATGTGGTGGTAAAAGCACAGCCCTAGATTTAGGCAGAGTGTGGCTCTTGAGGTGTCTTTGCTTAGCTCTGAGCTGATAGTAGCGCTCAAACCTCTGAGTTGGATGTGGCCTTCCGGCAGGCCAGATGGTGCTTCTTGTAAGCAGAAGGTGGTTGTTCCACAATCGTGCTATGAAGCTGAAGTAGTATTAGGGACCACAGAAATAAAGTCTCTATGGGCAAGATCCCCTTGCTCTATCCCATAAAAATGTGTGTGCATGACCACCAAGCACCCTGGGTATGTCACCTGTGAATAGCACTGCTGCCTGCAGCTTGGCTGTGGCTCTTCCAGATCTGTGGTTGAAGGCAGTGTTTGTTTATACACAAATGCCCACTGGAAGTGTTTCAGTGCTATTTAGTGTTTTGTATCCTCTTTCCTTTTTTAAAAGAAGTTGCAATAAAGAAACAAACCAAAAAAACCCACCCCTAAAAAACAAACAACGAAACCTTAATTACACCGTCCAGAATGGTACATGCTTAAAGTGAGTCACTATGGGATCCTGTAACTGTAATCTTTGTCCTCATCTCCACCCTGCTGCTTGTCACTCTCCTTCCCTGAAGCACTGCTCTAGCTGTTAGGGCTTTTGTCCTCTGTAAAACACCCTCCAGTGCAGAAAGACTCAACCAGAAAGTCTGTTGAATATGATAAAGGATAAAGCATTATCTGACCTCTTAGCACACGCAACTAGAAACTCTTCCAGATATTTTGTGAAGATACCTGGCCGCAGAGGAACATCTCAATGCTTCTCTAGTGGAGCACGTGCGTCAGTGTGAGAAGGAAGGCTTGTGCGGCTGTGGCTTGGGAAGATGCAGCTGCCTTCTCATTTCCTTGTATTTTCCACCCTTTGTGGTGATGGAAATGTTTTATCTTCTCTGACTGTGAACCATCTCATAAGCGGGTTCCTCATAAATTCCCCTTGTAGTTTTGGTACGTTCTGGGGTTTTGGGGCTTATTTTCACTTTCTCTTCTAGGCTGTCACTGTGCTCTGCTAAAGAGAAGCCTTGGTCTTCACCAGAGGTTTCACCTGTGGAGCATAGTGGTAGTGCTTTGTACCTCCTCCTGCAGCTTCAGAAGCACCTTGTATTTCTCTGCCCTGTGCCATATGTTTCAAATGGGAGACATTCCCCTTTTCGGGTCTTGTGAAGCTGCTTAGCTTGTCACATTGAGGGCAAAACAAGTGACAGTGTAAATTTTTCAGTGCCCCTGCCTTAAACTCCCCTTGAAGTAGATGGGGAACCCCATGTATGGCGGATGTGCAGAGCAGGGCCCCATCCTGCACTTTGGGGGCACAGGTCACAGATTGTCCTTGGTTCACCAAGAAGCTGATGTGTACCTACCACCAAAATACTGAACCAGTTGATCTGTGTGTGTGTGTCCCTGTCCCAATATGTATGTGACTTGTGTTTTCTTGCCCCACTGCCTATCATAACAAGTTAAAAATAGACCCTGGTGTTTTTCTACAGTGTGGGTAGAGTGTTCCTTTGAAAGTTCAAGTGCGAAAGTGATAGGCATTGGCAAAAATCTGCTCTTTTCAGACTGGTGCCAAAGGGAGCTCGTCTCCTTCCCGTTTAGCTTGTCTCCAGGTCATTTTCAGCATCGTTTTAAGAAGCTGTGTTTATCCCTGCCGGTAATGCTGTGGTTGATCCCATGTATGGGTTCTAGGTACAAATCCGGCATCTGCACTTGAAAAAGTCAATGAAGCTTACAGGAAACAACTGCAAAATGATTCCTGAGCTGGTAGAAATGCTTTGCAGCGAGAGCCATGGAGCTCAGTCTGCTGAGCTCCGCAGAGGTGACAGTATGCATGTGTCTTTGTGTGGAGAAAATACTATTCTCAGACTCTTTAACCTGGCAAAGAAAGTCATAGTAAGCACAAATGCTTGACCTTGGTTTTAGTTGAACATACTAAGCGTGGGCATTGGTATAAATCTGGTTGGAATACAGGGGTTTGTATACAAGGTCTGATCCAGTGGTGATGTGGGCAGTTCTGGTCTTAAACTAAAGAAGCGGAGGTGGAGGGGAGAGTGGAGAAGGCTTGTTACACAAACAGGGACAAAAAAGTAAGTACATACAGAAATAGTCACAAGTGCAGAGGGGGGAAGAAACCCACAAGTCCAGACCTTGGCTTGTAGAAAGCAAAATGTGTCAGAAGTCTCTCTGCGTGTGTGCTCCCCTGACCCCTGTAGCTCTTTTGATGCCTCCTCCCCCGCAGGATGCTAATTCTCACTAATTCTCTTGGCTTTGTTTCCATGTCCAGTGTGTCGAGACTTTGCTGTTCTGGAAGATCATACCTTGGCCCATAACTTACAGGAGCAAGAGAGTAAGTAGCAATGATCTTTGGGACAAACTGAAGCAAATTTGTCCTAACAGATATCTGGCTTTGGTTTTGCTAAGAAAAATCCTCCCTGCTTTTATTTCATTTTTTTTTTAATGGATTATGGATTATTGTTACTGTCTTCACTGTCCTGTAACACTACTCTGCGTTCTGCCCCAGCTCACATTGTACCCTAGAGATAGTTGCATTTCATGTTTCAATTTTGTGCTCTCCTTGATTTGAGTTTGTTTATGCCATTTATGACAAAATTGCATGTGGGAGTGCACTTGAGGTTTTGTTGCTGTGCAAGGTTTTTAGAAATGACTAGCAATTTTGGAAACTTCAAGTTTTATAGGCTGACCTGAGGTGCAACCAGAAGAAGTCTGTTTATTTACTTATTTCAGAATCGCTAGTGCCTGCCTTTTGAAAGAAGCTTCCTTTTAAGACATTTTGAGGTAGGGCAGCCGTACGCTGTAGGGTTTAAAAAGGAGGAAAAAAAGTACAACCAGGAACTTCAAAGTGACTGGTGAGATATATATATATTTTTTTTTTTTTAACATGCTTATCTGTTACTTGGGGTATGTTTGCATTGCAGTTTCAGGTGTGGTGGCCTCTCTATTCTGCTTTGCTGGGTGCCAAGACCATTGGTATCTACTAATAGGTGCTAATACTGTTCCAGCTATTCCACCAAGCATGGAGCTTGTGCTGAAGTTGTGCCCTTGCTGCTGGAACCCGAGACTACTGAATTGAAGCTGGCTCTCAGCTGCAGCTCATGTAGCCATCTTTTTCTTGCAGGCAGTATCCATGTATGGTAAAGGACTCACTGTAGTACTCAGTTGCTCTGTTGCTAAATATAAAGGTAGTGAGATTCTGGAACCGATTATGTTGAGAGTGAGAGGAGTTTCCTCTTTAGAGGTTCTTGAGAACAGACTAGGGAAGCATCCATCAGAAGTGGTTTAGGTTCAACTCATCCTCACTGGCCTCTGGTGGTCCCTTCCAGCCCCACCTTATTAATCTAGGGTAATTTCCTAGCCAGAAAATGAAATTTAAAACCTGAAAAGCATTCCTGATAAATCTGGATGCAATTAAGATATGCAGATCTTGGTTTGGTAACAGACACATGTATACAGCCCCCTCAGTGCTGAAACAAGGCAATCTCAAGCTGCTAGCATAATTTCAGTTCAGGACTTCCCCACCTTTAGAGATGTTACATGATGTGTTCCTGCCAAGAGCTGTCTTCCTTTCTGGCCTGGAATCTCCCTCCCACTTGCTTTGTCTTGTTCACACTGTGAAGTTCTGCAGGCTGATTTGGGGCTTCTTGTCTGTGTTTATTTCCAGTTGAGCATCACTTGGCAACAAACGTTCAGCGTAATCGTCTGGTGCAACATGACTTGCAGGTGGCCAAGCAACTGCAAGAAGAGGAGGATCTGAAAGCACGTGCTCAAATCCAGAAACACCGAAAAGACTTGTGAGTTTGGGAGAGAGCTGTTGAAATGCTAGTCCCGTTTGGTCAGAGCACTGAAATTGGCTGCTTTGATTTGAGTTGATGGACAGTATGTGGGGTTCAGGTTGATCAGCCTTTTGCTTCTGTTTCCTTTTTCCTTTGGCTATCTGTTGCCATAAAAGTATTGATACTAGGCTCTGGCACAGAGTAATGAGGACAGGGTGGGAGTAGGTGGCCCTGGGGCCCGCCCGGGCTTGGATTCTGTTGCCTGACCATGGGAAGGAGCCTTCCCGTTCTGCTGCCTGTTGGCAAAGTGGGGTAACTTGGCGGCTTGCATTGACCTTGTCCCTGCCTGAAGTCTGAGAAAGAAGAAACCACACCACAGAAATACACAGTGTTACAGTGAATTCTTCCTCTTGTGGAAATTGCAGATACTGGTGTGTTTGCACAGTGGCTGATGAGTGCTTTTGAGGAGCTTGGTGCAATGCTTTTTGGTGTCCCGCTGCACTGAACAGCTGAAAGCCTGTGCTTGCGCTTGCAGATACTCCAGCATGAAGTGACCTGGGAAGAGGAGCTGCTGCCCCAGGGTGACTTGGTGGAGATAGGTGTTGGAGGACAGGTCTTCTCTTGCAGTCACTGCCCTCTGCAGCAGCTGTGGGAGGATGTTTAATGAGTGATCCAGTTTGTTCTTTAGGTTTGCTCAGGCCCCATACACCAAATTTAACCCTGTGGCCTGTGATTTGGCTTTCTGTGTACCATGGCTCTTAGGCTGTGGAGCTGATGTAGAAATGAAACGTGGTAGGGCAGGGCAAAACAAACTGTACTTTCCAATACAGAGTTGACATTTGTGCTTTTTTTTTTGTTGTTGTTTCCCCCCCCACCGCTTAGGCTCTTGCAATGTGTGAGATGTAACAAATGGGTTGTGTGGGAGGGCTCAGTCAGGTCCTGATGATGAGAGACAGGACCTTGCTTTTGGATGGGGCTCCCTGCAAATGCAGAGTCTGCAAGGCAGGGTGCATCTCCCAGTGACTGTGCTGCCTTCCAGCTTGTGTTGTGCTCTGTGATGCCACCCACCAGGTACAGTTGGTGGTGGATCACAAACCCTGGGTGGCTCATCTGGCAGAGACAGCGATGGAGTAGAAGAGCTCTGTATTGCAGATGTGTGAGATATAGGACTGGCTTCAAAGGAGCTGCTCATAAAAGTTTTGAAGCTGCAGCGTGACAAATCAGCCACTGTTTTCAATGTTCCCAGCATACTTGGGCAGCACTGGGTAGATACATGTGTGTGTCTCAAGTCTGTGCTTTCTTTCAATAGCTTTGTCTTCATTACCAATTAAGAGATGTGAGCTGGTAAATGCCAATGTAAAAATTAATTTTGTATGGCAGAGATGATTCCTTTTTGTTACTTGCTGGGAACTGCAAACAATTTCCTTGTTGTAGGACTCTAAAATGGGGTTTTTGAACTTTGTGAGCCAAGTTACAGGCAGAACTGCTGATGCAAAATGTTGTGTCAGCAGCAGTTCTGCTCCTGAAAGCATGAGCTCTTCTGCAAGAATAGTAAAAAAAAAAGTTGGAGGTATCCTTTTGTAATTGGATCTTTTTCTTCCTTAATTCTCTGTACGTTCCCACTGTCTCTTCCTTGTGCAAGATCAGTATGTTCTGGCAACAAAATCATCATCGCTGTTGTTGCTTTCTGTATCATCTAGGACAGTTTGACACTGCAAGGTGATGGGAGGAGTAAAGGGGCAGAACTGCGTGGTCTTTAGAAACAGGGAACAAAAAAAGCTCTTCAAACTTAGGGGCTTTCTTCTGTCTTTCAAATCCTAGATTCTCTCAGAAGGACTTTGTGAAGATAAATGAGAGAATAGAAATAAGTTTTCTTTTCTTTTTAGGAATTCAGGGAAGCATCAAACCTTATTTTCATGCTGCTTTAAAAGCATTTCTCATATCTAGCTGAGCAGCTTGCACACTGCCAAGCATAGTAGCAAGGTTGCTAAAATAACTGTCGGAAATACCGTGAAAATATGCTCTTTCCTTGTTTTGCTCACAGTGCTGTGATCATTATGTTACACTAATGTGAACAGTTCCTTTGAATGGTTCCCTTAAATCTCCTTAATTTTTTTTTTCCCCCTCCTCATCTGGCAACAATTAGTTGCTACAGCCAATGTCAATGGGAGCTTTCTGATCACACCGACTTTTCTTTTTCTCTTTTTCCTAAACTGATGTAGAGTTTCCCTGACACTCTTAACACTCCTGGCTGCCCAGGAATGAAGGACACCTAGGTGTGATGTTCGGGGATGGTGATGTTTATGTTGCTGTGGCTGATTTCTGGGGACTGATGGGCACTTGAACTTGCACTAAAGAAATCAAAGGACAAGAAGAGCTGTCAAAGTTCTTTAACCTATTTTCTTATGCTCAGTCAAGTTGAAACACTAGCTTATGTTGATTAACTAATCAAGTCTCAGTATTCAATTACCACTGAGCAATAAAACCCAAAATCTAATCCTCTGTTGCTGTTCAGTGGTTCTTAGAGATTGATACGGTGTATTCAAAGATGCATGTCATCAGGAGCAAGAAAATGCTTCTGCTTTTGCATTACTTCTAGTGTTCTTTGCTGCGAATGGAGAGGCAATGACCTTGTTGCCTTGGCTCTGAAAGACTATTAGCTGTTTCTGTCTCCTGTTTGTCTGCAGTAAGATGTATTTTAAGCATTTAGCAAGTCAGTTGGTGCTGATGAACTTGGCACCTTAGTTCTGCTCACAGGTGGTGGGGGAACTGGAGACGTGCAATGCCGTGACATGTCTGACCTTTCTAACTTATTTTCTACCTGGATTGCTGTCCTCTGAGACTGGGGTTGTAAGGGATCGACTATCTTAGGTTCATTGACTGTCTGTTCCCCAGGATTTGCGTGTTCAGCTATTGTTTTGCTAGGGACTGTGGTTCTCTGCTGGTGCCAGCTTTGCCAAGGTCCCTTTCTACATGGCAGGTTTAAGAACTAGATTTGCTGTTGTGTGAGCTCGTGTGCCTTTGAACTGGTCTATCCCTGGACTCAAGTGAAACACACATAGGCATGCACACAAAATGCTGGGTTTTATTACCTGGATGAAAGAAACTGATGTCTGAAGTTGTTTGACCTGTTGATAACTCCAGCCCTACAAACACTGAAATTCATGAGTGCCTTCCAGGATGTCTCTAGACGTGGGTCAATTTATGAATAAATAAGTACAAGTGTTTGTGAGTGGGGTAGTCTGGGAAAGGGAAGAAAATGGCATGTTGTGACACTGACTTGGGGTTCATATGTACTTGGGGTTCATGTAAGTGATGTGCTGTATGCAGTTGCAAGTCTGCTTCTGAGGAGCAGTTGACAGAAATAAAGAAGCTTTTTTCCCCTCTCGCTGCATGTTCCTTTTCCTTCCCTATGGCAGATTAGTTGTTTCTTGGTGGCATTTGTCTTCTAAACCCTCTTCTTGTTGCAGTGTCCTTCCTCCCCACGCTAAGCCGCATAACCACTCTTTCTGTTTCTCTCATTCTTCTTCGCTTTCTATAAAAGAAGGCTGTGTGGTGCAACTGACTGTTCCAGCCATGCCACTTATCTCTGTTTTGCTACCAAAAGTGTCTGTCTGCACTTACTATTTTAATTTCCGCCGCACATGTCCTAGACTTCCTTCCAGTCCTTTGCCCCCAAGTTCACTAGGTCATTTATGCCTTGATCCTTACTCAAGCCTAGAGCTAGTTGCTCCACCCCACACAGCACAACTTTGACATAGCTGAACCTGCTTCCATTGAAGTACTTGCTTGACTTCCATAATATGCTTTTGGTAGTCCTCCTATCACCTATCTGATCACTGCCAGCATACTCTTCAAAAGATTGTAGTCTAATAAAGCAAGCTCTGCCTGTTGCTGTTCCCATTCTCATCTCCTGTGCCTCGTCTTTCAGTAGTCTTAGTTGCAGAGATAGCTTTGATTGATTTTTCTGACCTGTTCAGAGCTAGTCTTTGGCTCAATTTCAACAGCGCTGAAAAAAAGAGCTCTTGATCTTTCTTCTCAAATCCCCCAGCTCTTTTCTGGGTTGCCCTAAGGAACTCCTGGCCATCATTACAGCCATGCAGCCTGATGCCTGGCAAACGGGCTGGGTATAGCACAATTCTTGCAGATGCTTTCTGTATGGTGTCCCTGAAATACGGCCTCCCCAGTCTATCCACACAGACACAACTCTCATGTCTAAATTACTCCGGTATCTCTCTGTCCTTAGTTAATGCAATTTTGTGTTTTTTCCCACATCTGCACTGGCACTGTGACCATGGCTCCCTTGCCCCTCATTTTGACGCATGTTGCTCTCTTGGCACTGGTTCTTCTTTTGTGTCTCGTCCCACCTCAGTGGCGCTTCTTATTCATTACTGAACTGCCATCTCCAGCCTCTGCTTGGTCTATGTGCTACTTTTTACTATCAGCATTTCTGTACTTTCTCCTTCTTGGTTTTCACATGAAAACCACTTAGCAGAAATGCCTGCATTAACCATATCCCTAAAGCCCTCTTTTGACACCATGTGTACAAAAAACTCCTCGGCAGAAATAGACTGTTTTCCGAGACTCCTGTGCACTACCTTGGCCTGCCCTATCTTATGGTTCCTACCTCCTTTCTTAGCGAACTGCTTGTGAATCTGTTTTCTCTTGCTTTATGCTTTGATTGTGAATGCTTTGGGAGCTATTTTTCTAAATTTGGCCAGCAGTAAGTACAGGGAGTCCTGGTCCCTGGTGAGGATTCATAGGCTCTGCATTAATACTGAGTAATAATTCTTCTGTGTAAATCAGATGGGTTCTTTAGCTCTCTTATTCCTTTCTGCAGGCTGACTGATGCCTGTGACTTTAGCTGCTTATAATCCTTGTCTCCTTGCCTTCTAGAGAACGACAGGACTGTGAGATCGCTCAGGAAATCCAAGTGAAGCTGGTATTTGAAGCAGAGCAGCGCCGCAGGCAAGAGGAAAAAGACGAGGTAACCTTTAAAGCTGTAGGGATGGCAGGGCTATTTGTAGCAGCCCTTTCAGTCCAGGCATTTCTCTGTCGTTAGCCACAGGAGTTGGCTTGCATGGTGTCAGTCCTGGTCCTCGCAGATCTCGGTATGCACAGAGATTTTGGGGAGTCCTGTTACAGGAATAAGATACAGTCATAGTCCTCATGCTCAAGGGTCACAAGGGTCATTGATGCCAGTGGCCTTGCTAACGAATAGGGCATGTTATAGGTGGATCTTGTTGAGGTGTTCATTGTCCTGGTGTAGGAAAGTGTAATTGTTTATGCAGTCTGAGATACGCTTGCTTTCTCAAATGCAAGGAGATGGGTGCTACTTTTGGGAGAACCTGGGTCACAATTGCTTGGTCTTTGGTACAAAGACTTCAGCATGACCATCAGCCCATCCATCCATTTCTAGCTTCTCTATTACCTTCTTTCATCTTCAGTTTAGTCTTTCACAGCCTGAACACCCTGATGCAGTTTCTTGCTAGCAGATTCCTTTCGCTATTGCAAACTATTGCTCTGCTGCTGTTGCTTGAGAATGGGCAGTGTGGCTTGTCCATGGTGTTCAAAGGATTTGGCTTGTTGATCACTTTATTGTGTCAGCCTGTCACATTGGGTATTCAAGAAAGCCACAGAGCGGAGGAACACCTGTGTGAGCCTGGAGTGTGGCCCCGTTTTTTATTACAGATAGTTTCCTGAGAAGTCTGAGTAGTCTTAAGATGCTCAAGAGGCACCTAGTGGCATTTTCTCTGTAGGAAGGGCTTGAACACAAGGCTGTGTTTCCTGGAAGAGCCTGAAATAAGAATCTGTCCCTGACAAATGCATTGGTTTACTTGTGCAAGACCTCACTTTCTTCTTAGACCATTAAGTCCAAGGAAGTGCTGAAGGGCTGCCCAGGCAGACGTGGAAGGGCTTCCAAGAGGAGCTTGTGGTAATGGGGGTGGCAGAAACACTCCAGCTAAAGGATTTGTGCTACACATGTGACCATCTGTCTCATTTTTATCGGGAAGGTGAAGGGGATGCAATACTATTCATGCTATCTGTGGGAATTGCACCTTTCCTTCCTGCTTTATGTAGAGAGCTGCTGGCATGTCAGCAGTCTGACAACAGGTCACTGCAACCTGTCAAACCAGCATGCTGACCATCTTGTGCTGTTGGGAGCGATCTTCAAATGAATGTGGCTCAAAGCAATGAGGAGAAGCAATAAAATATTCTTTATCTTCTTGCTGGTATGTGGGAAGTTCCCGAGTGTGGCTGAAACATAGCTGTGGATTGAGTTAGGCTGCAGCTGGTACCAGGGTGTGGCACTACTGCCCATCCTTGCAACAGGACTTCTGGAGAGCTTGAATTGATCCTGCTTCCCCTCCAGGGTCCCCCCGCCCTGCCCCCAGTGTTGTTTCTTTTGGGTGGACTTCTGTGCTGATGCAGAGCCTGAGCAATGTGAGTGAGGCTGTGCAGTGCCCCAGAGGTTTGTCAGCTAGCAGAGCGACACACATCAGAGCCCCTTCTGTAGCCCTCGGCACAGCGTCTGTACACGTACCCTGCAGGACATTCTGTGTTACGCTGGTACTGGCCACACGCCGGGCTACGCTTGTATTTGTCACACATGAGGGTATAGTAGTGTGTGTGACAGCTCTCTGGTATCAGGAGTGGCTAGCAGTGTTATGCTAGTGCTGTGTTTGAGGCAGATCCAGTCTGGTGCACATGGTTTTTAAATGAAGTGGTAAGCCTACCTGCTTACAAGTCCAGTTTGTGAGAAATGGTTTGTGTGGATTTGCAAGTCCTGAGCTGTCTCAATCCTGGAGATAATGTGCTTAAGCCCATGTATTTATAGAATTACTGTGCTTGCTAGAAGAGGTTAACCTTGCCAGGGGAAGGAATATTTTTTTTTTTTTTTTTTTTTTTTTTGTAAAGAGCCTGTGGCATCCCTAGGTCCTCCAGGAAGCTGGTTACTAAGCAGATCTGATCTGAGTCCCGAAATAATCATTTGTACTTGAACACCCATCCAATGTCCTCCAGTACTGGCTTTACTCTGGAGGGTGTTGGCTCTTAGTTTGCATTTCAGCAATGCCTTTCCTGCCTGCAGTGTACACTTTACATGCATGACTCTATAAAGGTCCTGAGGATTAGGGAGGCTTAAATGAATAGCATCCAAAGGGCTAGCATGCCCTGCTGGTATCTTGCAGCTTCTCTTTCTACTTTCAGACTAGCTCCACTGACTCGCAAACTGCTGGGCCCCAAATGAGCAAGCTCCAGGGAGCTGTTTGCTGTTGCTAAGCCGTGTTGATCCATTAGTCATCTCCAAAGAAAACCAATTAAGAAAATGGAGTGCTATTCTCTTTGGCATATCTACCAAAACTGCAACAGAAGATAAACGGCTGCAGTCCCCTCAGCACTCCTGCCTTGTGCCTAGTCTTCTCTTCCTAATGTCCCTTTCGATTTTCTTTTCCTTCAGCCTCTGTCTGTCAAATTGATGTATTTCCCTGCCTGGTATGCTACAGTCCATGTAAATCACAGCCAGTTTGAAGCGAGTTCATGACTTGCTCTGGGAACTCCTTCCAGTCTGAAGTGCCTTCAGCTGGAGACAGGCTTTGCCCCTGTGTTTTTCTTTCCCTGGTGGAGTTCAAGGGGGAGGTCCAGCCCACTCGTGTGAGCGGGTGTGCACTTATGTGACTTCCAAATCCTTGCTGAAAGCCCGAAGTTGCACATGCATTCCTTCTGCTATGCTTTGGCCATTAGGGCTTTGCAGGCTTGCGTGCAGGTGGAACAGGAACATGCAAGTCTGCTGTGGGGTTGGAAGGTCAGCAGTGGGCCTGGGTGAGGTTGGATACTGGTTGCTGAGATGGGCCCTTGTGTCAACCACTAATTTGGAAGCCCCTTCTCGCCCAGGGCTTGAATTTGAGAGTAACCCTGTCGTTGCCATGTCTGAAAAATTAAACTATCAGGATTTTTATAATTGAATAAAGAATTTGAATAAAAGCATCTGGAGGTATTTTTTGGGGGGAAAGGTAATGCCTGTTTTCTTCCATTTCTGCAGGACATTGCCCGCCTCCTACAGCAGAAAGAACTGCAGGAAGAAAAAAAGCGCAAGAAGCACTACCCAGAATCCCAGGGACACACAGTTTATGAAGATAGCTATTATGCAGAAAATGGAGGTACGTTTCTGCTAGATAAAAGGTCAAGATCATGGCAGTATAGGTGAACCTGGTGACCTGGCAACTCTGTTTAGGAGATTTCACTTATCCTACAGTCCTGCATTCAGCACTGTAGCATTGCATCAATTTCCAGGGTCGGGATCAGACTTTATTCTAGAATCAGGAAATATTTTTTTTTAAAAAAAAAAAAAGTTGAGAAGACAACTATATATTTTTTTTGTCCTAGAAGATGGCCTAAAGGACAGGGATAGGGTGTGTTGTGTGTGTATGTGCAAGCATACCCATGCATGCATGTTCTGAAAGTGCTCGTGGAAAAAGACAGTAGCTGATGGTACTGATAAGCCGCAGTTACTTCTGTGTAACACCACAAGCGCGCGGGGGAGAAATTGAGATGCAATTCCACGCTTACGTTCAAAGAGAAACAGTTCCGTGTGCTCATCTGCGATGCTGGCACAGCTACGTATGTAAAGAAATAAATGCTGGTTCATGGAACAGCCTTTCAAAAATAACTCCTCGCAGGTACGTATCCAAGCATTAAAATTAGCACAACTGCTTTGAATGACTTACTGAATAACAAGGTCATCTCCACAGAATGTCTCTGCTGTGATTATCATCTGGGACTGTATGTTGTTGGAAAAAGATATGACCCATGGCACTTGTATTGCTTTTTCTTGGTCGGCTTTTATGATTAAATACAGACCTTCTTTAAATTGGGAGGAGAGAATAAGGGTGTGTTTAATTATGGAGCAATCTGGGGATGGCTTTGCTGTGCAGTGGTGGTGGTTCTTGTGTTCTTTCTTAAAAAAAAAAAAATGCGGTGGGGAAGAGACAGGCTGCTTTTGATTAACAGATTGTGAAGACAAAGATCAAACCTCTTATTTCTCATTTTAACATCAATGCCATTGGCAATTTTAAATGTCTTTTATTTGAACTTACACAAAGTGTTTTAGTTTCAATTGGGAAGAAGTTTAAGGATGGCCAAGAAAACACAAAGCACGAAGTGCAAACCAGTAACCAAGTGGAAACTTATGACCACAAGTTCTGCCACAATGTACAGAACTGGGAAAGACTGATCTTTGGAAGTCTTATGGCCAACCCACACTTCAGTTTTTCAGAATTAAATGGGACAATTCCCTGAAAAAGTACAGTGTAGGTAATAGTGCTGCCATGCAGAGATGGTAGGACAGGGTGGATTTTTATAACAGAAATCAGCTGACAAAAGCCTGTGACTCTCTGAACTGAGACTGTGGTGTGGGTTTGGAGAGCAGGATATCTTGTGGGTCTAACTTTTTCTTCCTGTAATAATCTGTAGTCTCAGAGATGAGTTAGAAGGTGTTTTGCCTGACTATTCATAGTACTGCTGCTCTTGATCTCCACTCCTTAAAAACTAAAAAGGGCTGGAGTGGATTTTGATGCCTGGATCATCTAGTCCATTGATCTGGAACATTGATCTGGAACCTCTTAAATACTTGGGCACCATCTGATTAGGCTTCAGCATCCTCAGTTTGTATCATACTCATTACTTGTGAAATTAAACAAAAAAATGCCCTGGCTTAGTTTGGGTTTTAGTCTGTCTTGAGACAAATAAAAATTTTATCCACATCCAGGAGGAGTGTGGATTAGGGCTATTGCTCCAGAGCAATCTGAGCTCTTAAAAAGTGGAAAAATAAACATGAAAAAAGGCAGAGTTCCTCCCAGAAGTGTCTGTGCCATGAAAAACATTTCTGTATTCGCTCAGTCACTTGCTGCTTGAGAGAGTAACACCAGGACCTAAAGAGAGTTTACATGGCCCCTGCGGAAGGTGCTGCAGGAACTGGTGCCTGCTGAGGAGTTAATCGCCCTGAGATACCCCAAAAGCAAACCTTCTGCTCAGGCTGTCTGGCACGGTTGCAGTAGTTGCAGCGATCCTTTCCCAGCACAGCCATGCTTTGCTTTTTCATGATCTGCTCCCTGCTGCTGTGTTTACTGAGCTTTCTTTAATGACAAAATTGAATTAATTCTTAGAACCTTGTTAGTGTCGTTCAAAAACTGACTCTTGCTTTCAGGCTCTGGTCTCTGTTGTTCAGTAAGTCACTTAGATTGTTTTATTGGCTATTTGTTTTCTGTAAATCAATGTGAATGATCTAAAACTGAACAGAAAAACCTACAGTTAACAGGAACTGCTGTGGTTACTCATACAGTTCTTGGATTTTTAAAAATATACCTTTTCTGGATAAAAGTAACACAGACTTGTTTTCAAGGTGGATTTTCTGTAGGGTATATTTTTTGTTGGCTCTGAAAAAGTTTTATCTGAATAGAATAACTTGAAGGGAACATTTAGTTTTGGTGGTTGTTTTTCTGAAACCTGGATGACTGTAAGGAGGGCAGAGCTATTTATTAAAACAGAATGCAGTTCATGTGCAGTGAAATCTATTTTAAATATTTTTTAGATACTATAAAAAACTCTCAGCAGTGGAGAAGGAAAGTCTTACACTGCTGGTTTTTTGGTTTGTTTTTTTTCAAATCAGCCTCTGCTTCAAGGAAATTTTTTTTTTTTCTTCAGAAATACACCTTCATTCTGAAAAGCTGTGGTAGAGATAATAGTTCACTACGTGCAATGATTTTTCTTAGCAAATAGGTTGATTGGAAAATAAATTGATCAGCAGAGTGTATACAGGCAGACTGCTGCATCCTCATAGCTGTGTCAAGTTTATTACTGAAACTAAAAGCAAAGAAAATTTCCACCTGCTTTCTGGAAAGCACAGAGGAAACAACCCCTCCAAGCTGCCAAGTAAGCGGCTTTTCCAGCTACATTGCTGAGGTCAGGAGCCTGAGTCTTGTGAAGTCGTATACTGATCTTAAATTCCTGTAGCCCTCTCTGCAGTCAGAGCCTAAACTTTTATTTAGGCAATGAATAAGTGCAGGCCCTGAAACTTCTAGGTCTGCAAGAGATACGTGACAGTCTGTGGTGGAACATATTTGGGTGCTGCAGCTATCCATCTTCTCGTTCTTGCTTTAAAAAAAAAAAAAAAAATCCCATCCCACTTGTCTATTTCTCTTCTGCTTTATGTGGGTCTTCCCTCTGTTAGGTGAGGCTGGTTTTTTTTTTCTGATGAAAAACCTTGTGCCTGAAGCCAGGGCAAGGCACTGGCGCTCATAAGCCAGAATGCAGCCTGACCCTCTGCTTGGCCTCTCCTGACCTTACGCCCCACCCCATTGCTTCCCAGCATCACCAGCATCTTGCGCCCTCCTTTGCAAGCCTTTCTCTGGTGGTTTCAGTATCCTGCAGGAGTGATGTGTCACCAGGAGATGAGCTGCTCTGCTGCCTGTTTTTCAGCACCAATGGCATCATTAAAAGTCCTTCATCTCCATATTGGCTTGTCCTTGTCGTAAGAGGTTCTCAGACACACTTTTGGGTTGGGCCTGTGCTTTCTGCTCCAGCCCTGTTGCCTCCCATGCTGCCCTGCTGCTAGCCACACTGCCGTTTCACTCTGTCCCCTGTTATATCCTGCAAGCATTATATCCCTGTTATTTTTCTTTCTGATCCCATCATGCTTCGCCTGCATTTCCAGCTTCTCCTTGCATCAAGCTCCCTCATCTGCATGCCTTGAGTCTGGCCTCACTGAACCGCCATGAACACCGCACCACTAACCCGCTCGTTGTTTGTCCCCCCATTGCTCAGAGCACCCCTGGGGTGACCCCAGAGAGCAGGTTTCTGAGCCTTGCAGGGCACGCAGTGGTGACAGGCACACGCGCCGGCAGAGAGAGCACCGAGAAGCGCCCTCGCCTTTGTCTGACGGTGCCTCTGAACATGGGCACTCCACCTTGGAGGATCGTTGGAGGTCTCCTCAACCAAGTGAGGCCAGCAATGGCCATCAGCAGGAGTGGAAATCAGCCAGCCAGGGAAGGTCCAGGAGACATCCCAGCCTTGACCTGGAAGGAGAGGCTGAGCGTGGTGCCTATGACCACCCCAATAGCTGGGAGCTGCAGGGAAGGAGAGCAGCCAGCAGGGAGAAGGCTTGGAGACCTCTCAGTCTTGACCTGGAGTCAGAGCACGGACTCACAGACCAGGTGCAGTGCAGCAGAAAGCCAACAAGGCAAAACAGAGAAAAGCACCTTCCTCTTCTTGAGGTGGAACTGGAGGCTGAGCAGGAGACCTGGCATCGGGGCGGCAGCCGCCTGGTGCGCCCTGAAAAACACAAATCTCGTCGTCAGGGCCACTCGTCACACAGGACGATGCATGATGAGAAGCCCTATGATGCTGAATCTAGGGATGATCACAGGGGTGAGGAGAGAGACTGTAAAAGGGCAGGACGCAGGAGACGGTCCCCCTCCCCACGTGCTGTGACCCAGGGGAAGGTTGCAGACTGCCAGCGAGACTCAGGTAACCAAGTGATGGGGAAGGTGTACGTACGTGTGGGGATGGACCTTTGCACGCCCATCCTGGTGTCTGAAATCTGTGGTGTTTCCTTTGAAGATGCTTATCTCCAGTATCTACGTGCAATGTGTACAATGGTGAATCCTGCCCAGGTTTCTCCCTTATTTAGTGAGATTCTTATCCATTAATATTCTTGCTCTGTTTATTTCCTGACATGTTCCATGGCATTAGAGAGGATGAGTAAGAAGGTATTGTTGGAAATGGTGCCCTTGGTATCCTGCATTTTAGAAAAAAAATAAACCCAGACACAAAAAAAACCCCAAAACCAAACAACAACCAGCTTTTATTTTCATGATCTATTTTGTGCTGTGGTCTCCTTGCAGAGGAAGAAAAAAAAACTAACAAAAACCCAAATGTTATGATTACACTTGTATTTTGTTGATTTGAGATGCAGGGCTGTAAGTGAGGACAGTTTGCTTAAGCACTAACAAGCCAGCAATTTCCATCCACTTCTTAATGAAAACCCTGCTGGCAACATAATCAATTCACTTCGGGCACAGTTCAGGAGTGGCACTAGGTGTCCGATTGGGCTCTATTTGTAAGATGAGGTTCTTGTCAAATTCTGTACAAGTGGATTTTTGTGGGAAATGTGTACCTGTGTAGTTCTTGTTCAATAAGAGTTGGGGACTGGTGGGCTTTAAAGATCCAGATCCATCTTTCTGCTTTGAAAACCACACTCGGAGTGGGGGTGACCTGTCTCTTAGTGAAAGTAGGAATTTAGAGACTTGGATCTATGTCTGTTACAGCATGGGAAGCTTGTGCTTTAAGCCATCTAACAGGTCTTCACTTGGATAAGGTGGGGATGATAATGCATGTCTGTCCCTAGAGATACTGGGAGAATTATTCTTTGTCTTCATCATGCAAAAGTTTTCTTTGGGGAAGTGGAAGGTGTTAATCAGGTCTTTATATATAATCAGTAGGTCATGATTTGCCCTGATACGGTGCGGGTCCAAGTGACTCAGTATCCTATCACATTGAGTCAAAACAGCCAGAAGCTCACATCCTCTTCCTGTGGGCTGTCGTCATGGTGGGCTTCGTGCTCCCCTGAGTGTGGGCAGAAGTGATGTGGAAGTAACATTTATTGTTGTCTTCTGAGCACATGAAGCCTGGCACTGATTGGTGTGTGAAGAAAGCTCAGCCTCAGGCTGGCCAGCAAACAATTCCTGGAAACTCACTTTTATTCTGCACAGAGCTAATGCTGTACAGGAGCCTGTCAGCCATGCTGTTGTTCATTCCAGCAGGGTAAAACTGTGTTTACCTTGACCTTGGAAGCACTCTGAATAATTTTACTCTGACCAAGCTGGTGTTTTTTTGCCAGAGTTTCTGTGCTGGCCTGAGATTGCAGCTCTTCACAGCTTGGATTGGTCAAAGTATGCTGGGAAAGGCCAGGACATATGCTTAGCCATTACACGCCAGAGCTGACGTTTTCTTCTTATCCTAAGATGGTTTGTAAGAGGGGTGTTAATTGCTTAAGATCATTGATCAGTTGATTCAAACAAAACAAAAAGCAGAAAACCCCACACGCCTCCTTTCATACATGTAGAAGAGGTGGTTTCCTATTCCAGTTTTATCCTGAGTTGATGCATGAGGTCTCTGGCCCTCTGTAGTTTGAAGTCTTCGGGGATGCTTGGAGGAGTGTGATGGCAGTTTGTTGGTAGATGCACAGAAACTTTTTCAAGGTCAGTTGGTTACTTCATGTATTGCCCTTGGTCTTATGAGATGGGAAGGAAACTGATAGGTGGCACAATAAGATCTAACGGTTATTTATAATAAATGTGTAAATGGTGTAGCTGGAGGTATGAAAGTTTTGAGGGAAACGTTATGGGTTTGAGGTGGAAGAGATACAGACATCTGGAGTGTTTGTATACTTCAGACATAAAGCAGAAGGCTCATGTAGATGTCTGAACAATACAGTTTAGAGTGCAGATGGAATGAGAAAGCATTCATTGTATGTGACTGAAGTCATGCATTTTGTAACAGGGGTACAGTGAGACTTTGACGGCCTGGTGCAAATAGACTATAGACTCAAAACACAACATTTTAAATCACTTGGAGATGGTTTATCTTTGAAATAAACAAATAAAACTCTGTACTCAAAGCAAGAGCTGAACCTTGTATGAACTTCAAAAACGTTTACTTGGTTGCTTTCTCACTGTGAATCGCAAAATTCATGGGTCAGCCCAAGGAAGAAATTGTCTGAAACCTCATGTGAGCCTGTCCCAGGCGATTTTTGCAGTCCGTGCTGCTCCAGTGACTTGTTCGCAGACTCTGCTGTGCTCATAACAGATGTTGGGCTGCGCTCTGCTGCCCAGTTTTGCCAGTGTATCTGTATCAACGCAGAGTGTGAAAAACTATGATTCCTCTGCTAGCATTGCTGTGTCAGCAAAGACTGCTTCAAGGGACGTGGCCTCTTCTGCCATATAGATGCATTTGTCATATAAGACATGGTGTATCGGGTATTTCTGTATGCATAGAGAAACCTCCCTAAGGTGCACCCTGCACCTCAGCTAAAGGTACTCTCAAACCAGCTGTCTGGCAGGTACGCTGTCATGCTCTCTGGTTCCCTTGAGTAGGGCTTTTGCAGGTGGCTGAGGAGATGGTGGGGATTTCCTTACCAAAGCATTTAGAAAATGGTTGAGTTGATTGTTTTCTCTCACAATTTGGTAGGCACTAAGTTGAGCGGGATGAAGCAAGCTATGTATGATACACCCCGAAGGGAACAGGAGCTGTCTGATGCAGAGATTGCTCGGAAGCTGCAGGAAGAAGAGCTCCTGGTAAGTAAAGAGGATGTGTTAGCCAACTTGAAGGTACTAAGGTAGCCAGCAATGACAACTTTAATTTGTAAACCTTTTATATATGATAATTACTTTAAGACCGAAGGTCTTGCTACTGTGCATTCTGGTAATTGCCTTTGTCTCTGGTATGCACACATATGGAGTGACAGCTCGCATCCAGCCAGTAGAGCCCTATTTTCTTAAATAAACACCCAAAAATTAAATGATCGAAGCAGAGTGATATTAAAAGAACACTTCCAGGCAGGTAAAGATGGTATGTAGTCAGTGTGGTCAGGCCAGTGCCCATCTTTGAGAGAGAGGGCAGCAGGATGGGCAATGCATTGTGGTGTGGCCTGGCAGATAGATGAGGGCAAAACTCAGCTGAAGAGCTGAAATAACTTTGTTGTTGGGTTGTGAGGTAGTTGAGGTAACTAATATATTTAGAGAGGATGGTAGGGTGTTCGTATGGGCACCTACTTGCCCTGCCCAGTAGGTTAATGGGTATGAGTAATTCAGAGGTGTTACTCTTTTGTCTCTGGTTTTCACACATCCTCCCCTCCCTTTCTTTTTTTCCAGGCTAGCGAGGCAGATCAGAAGGCAGCTCAAGTAGCCCAAGATGAGGTGAGTGAGAAGTCAAATGTCTGTGGTATTCCTTTACTTGTGGAAACTGCTAAACCGCACTTATCCCCTCTGACCATGTAGTTTTTCATTTCCTTCCTTGTAGGGGAAGCTCAGGGCTCTAGTGGGCTTTGCTCCTAGCTGGTTTTCATGTATATGCTCAGGCTGACCAAGCAGGGAGTTGCAGCCATGGCAGAGGATGGACATTCATGGCTGTGTAAGAGCGTCTCTTGTAACTGAGCCCCAAGGGAGACTATCAGAGATGCTGTGAGATGAACCCCTCATTGAAGGAAAATGAATAAAAGGCAGAAAGGCTCTGCAAACACAATTCTGGCAAATCAGGGAAGCACTGGGCATTGCTGCATGTAGTCAGTCTTAGTTCTGCTGTCACTTGACTTTTGATCGCAGATGGGTGAAATCCTGGCTTTGCACCCTTCCCATTCAGCAGCTGTCCATAGGAAAGGGTTTAAATAACGCAAACCCACAAGAGCAGTAAAACAGTCTGACAGACTCTCTGTATTTTTCCCTTCTAGGAAATTGCTCGGCTCTTGATGGCTGAGGAGAAAAAAGCTTTCAAGAAAGGGAAGGAGAGAGAAAAGTCTTCCTTTGAAAAGAGGAGGCATGATCAAGACTGGAAGGTATGTCAAGCTTCAGGAGGTGCCACAAATGAAGTGCTATAATGTTACTCCCATTTCCAGACGTAGGTGAGGGTGTGTGGCAAGAGCAAAAGGAATGATGCAGACTCTTGCATCCAAAGGGTCTTGCTGCCTGTTATTCAGCTGCTTCCCAAGCCTTTTGGAGCCACCTCCTTAGTTAGATGCTCTTTGGCTTTAGCCTTCAGCAAGGTAAGCCTTGGGGTCTGGCCTTGGAGGTTGGTGCTGGATGTCACAGCACCTTGTGGCCTCACTCAAGCACTGTCAGTCCTCCTGGTGCAGGACCTTCCCGCTGCTGAAATCCTGACTGTAGCAATAAAAGCAGTAGTTGGTTCTGTTTGTGCACCACAGGTATAAGGACAACACAGCTGTTGTCACTTTGCTTCATAATAAAATTGGCTCCATAATGAAAGTATTCAGTGTATCGAGCCTAGGTTTCTGTATGAGTAATACTACAGAAGCTTGGCTAGCCAATGTGGAAGGTGATAGGAAACAGATTTCATGGTCTGCACTGGTAAGGTGCTAAAGGGGGTGTTGTGTTTAATCTTGGGGCCAGTTGGAGATAGCTCTGATGTTTGCAGCCTCCTTACTGTGTTTGAATGACTGCAGGGAGCTGTGGCATCCTCAATGCACTGGCTAGTGTCTTGCAAGGCACGCAGATGAGCTCTTTCCCTTCTTCCCATCAGCATGATGCAAGTGAATCTACGCGCTCAAGGTCAAAAGAAAGGCCTGAAGCTCAGCGACACAAAGGTGACAGGTCTTCAAGGTGAGCTTGAACGGGCTGGTAAAAACAGGGGAATGCAGTTGGGAAGCGGCTCAGAAGCTGAGTCCTAGGAGTTGTGGGACAACCAGCCTGATCCACCCACAAGGGGCTTGGCAGAGAGCAGAGGTTTTAGCACTGAAAAGAGATGGAGGGCATAGAGCTTGTGAGGTGTTCGGTGACATGTACCACTTGCTGTGCTTGTGGCATTTGTCCATATTGGTCTCCTTGCCTGGTGCTGACGGAGGTTGATGAGCTTATGCAGTGACACTTGTTAAATGGCAGAGAAACACTTGGGAGAGTTAAAGAGCTTCTGGGAGTGTGAAACCAAATGTCATCTCTGGGCAGGAAGGAGTAATCACGATGCATTTGCACAGCTGCTTCTTTGGGTCCTTGCTCCCAGTTAAGCCCTGTACACTGGTGCCACTGCTGCACGTGGACACCCCATTGCAAGCAAGTACATTGTGTTTTGGGGTACCTCATCCCAGAGGGGACTGGAACATGCTGTAGCCTAGTGCTGCTTCTGAATCACTTTGTACCCTGGCCTGATGCTTCTCATGAGGAACCTGGAACCTTCCAGGGAACCCTGGAAGTGACCCCAGTGGCTTTGATTTCCAATCCAGATGAGCCTAGAAATTCTTGTTGAATTTGCAAAAGAAACAACAAATGAGGTGTGCAGATGGAGACTGAGAGATTAAAGTACTCTGGGGTAAAACTGGGCAAGCATTAAACACTTTAAAATGTTGCTCTTTTGAATGAGGTTTGCATCAAATGTCATAATGGAAATTCTTTGTTTCCTGACAACTTGAAACCATTATTAAATGAAAGCACTCCATGAGAAGTAGTAAATACTGTGCATTTCTCACCGCAAAAACAGTAACAGGCTGTATTCAGAGGAGCTGGTCTGCGGGTGGAAAGTCTGGGCTAGGCATAGTTTGCATCAAACTGGCAGGGACAGACCAGGCAGCTGAGATGTTGCTTTTGCCATGCTGTTATGCCGTTGAGTTTTTTCCCCCAACGCCTCTTTCTCACTGTGCTTGGCAGGTCACAGCCTCTCCTTGATGACTTTGAACACGCTCGGTATTACACAAGCCAGCCCAGCCCCTTGCGCCAGATCCCCAAACCTGAGCACTCTCCTAAAGGTAGGATCAAGCCCATGGTTGCCCCAGCAATTGGGTTATTGTGGGCTGTTTTCCTCAAATAAGCAGCCTGCAGGACACGATGTTTAAAAGAGATGCTAATAGAGAGGAGGAATGGATATTATTGCCCCAGCAGGTAGGTGATGCTAGTCAATGTTTGAGTTGTACTTGCTGAGCACGTTGCAGGCTGACAGACTAAAAACCTGGATTGGTTTGCCTTGAGTTTGTCAAACTGCTCTCTGCATGTCCTCCATCATCTCGTAATGATGAATGACTGTAAATCCAGACAGCAAATGAAGGAGAAATAATATGAAGACAAGGACGTGATGGATTTTAGGTGACTCGCTAGTATCAAACAATCCAATATAAGACAAAATCTCACAGTATCACCTGTCTGGCGGGCGGATGGGATGATCAGACAGAAGCTTGTCCTGAGAACAGGCTTGTTTTGTTTCTGTAGCCTCTCAGCACTGCTTTGTTGGCTTCTTTCCTGAAATCACTTGGCACAAGAGCAGTGTCGTTAGGGTCACCCCCCAGTTTTTTAAATCTGAATGCTAATTGTCCGAGTTATCTGTAGAGTCTCTGGGTGAGGAAAGGGGCAGGCAGAGTTCAACTCAATTGCTCAGATTTCTTCCACCTCCACTGGTTGTGACTTAAATGTGGACAGTTTACTTCCCGAAATTAAAGTTTGGGAAACTTTTGTGTTCTGTCTTCGTCAAACAAGCTGGAAAATTGACAGCATTTTTTAGAGTCTGTAAGCCCAGTGTTGTTTCCGTTTTCTTTAGTGAGACTCTGCAATGTGGCTGCAGTGCTATTTACAGCCTAGAAGAAATGCTAATGTCTGCCTCTCTTGTGGATCTATCCTTCCTTTTGCTTGAGTAATGTAACATACAGTTCCCATTTTGGCATTTGACTTTACCAGTACCCTGGAAGTCACACAGGCGTCCGAGAGGGCAGGACAAGTAAAAGATTACTGCAGGTAGTATTTTCTTCACCAGGATCTATCCTTACAGATTTTTTTCTTTGTTTTGCTTTCCAGGTTCCCGTAGGAAGCAGTAAACTGTGCTAGCCTTTGCTTTGGTACTGACTCTTCTGTAGCAAACATTACTGGAATTGCCAGGCAACTTTCTCGATCCCTTACCCAATGGGAGGTACAGCCTCCACTCCCAGGATCTCCTCTTTTGTCATCGTATTAATAAGGAACACTTGTTCATTTCAATTTCTTACTCGTATGTGATCACCTGAGCGGTGCAGTATAATCTAGCCACCACTGAGCTGTGTGAATCAACTAGCTGACTTAACAGCTCCCTATTCTTTTGAGGCTTTCTTTTTATTTTTATTTTTAAGCTTTGGCTGGAGCTTTGACAAATAGAGATGCATGTACAACAGGGAGGAAGATCCAAGCTATGAGCTGTGTTATGGCAATGCAGGGGAACATCAGAAGTACAAGGCCTTCCCATATTAGGATGACTTAGCAAAGAGAGTTATAAGAGGAAACATGTTTCTTCCTGTGCTGGATAAGACAGCTGAGCCAACCTGACAGTCTTGCTAGCTTGCAGGAAGGAAAGAGGATTTTCACAATGTACACCAGCAAAAGCCAGAACCCAGGCACTGATGAGGAAGAAATTGCCTATAGAACAAAATTTCTTAACTGCTGTTATTTCTTTCTAGGGTTTCCAGCAATCTGGGTAGAGTGTGTAACCTGGCATTTAGCTGCAGGATAGAACAGTTAAGAGGAAATACAATTTCAACTGGAATTAGACCTTATGGTCATGACTTTTAAGACATGCCAGGGAGTTGATGAAGTTGTGAATTGGGAAGAATCATACAAACAGATTTAAATGCCTGAAGGGACCTCCGTGGTCACCTGCTTTGAGCTTCAGTGTGGTAGAAGCCAAGGAATTTCACTGAAGCCAAGTAGGAATGACTAACTCCCAGCTCAGTTGCTGATGCACTTGAGTACAGTAACTTGTGTCTGAACCTGCATATGTCTGGGAAACATGGGACTGAAGGAGGGCCATATGGGCATTGAGCATTGAATCCAAAAATCTGCTGTTACAGGCAACTTTGAGCTAGACACAGAGTGTCAAACAGTACACACAATGTCTGTGCTGACTGCCACCCCTTTACACTGCTCCGTCCAGCACCTCAGGCAGGCTCCAGTCAGCATAAAACTATTGCTCTCTAGGGCACAGCACGGTCTGCAAGTTTAAGTTTTCTGTATAGATTTACCTGTGCAGTGATTTCTGCCCTCCTCTTTTGATGGCTTGTTTTCCCTCCATTCTTTGAAAATCATTCTTCTTTTGCACAAACAAGTAGCCTTTTCCTGTGGCCTCCTCTCATTTCAATTCTTTTGTCTTTTTAAGCTTTTTTTTTGCCATTTTTTCCAAGTGTTTTTTTTTTTCTTTTAAACAACAAAGCTGAGCTTCTGGACACTGGCTTGGAGTCTGTTTAGCCAGTACAGTCTAGTTATTCATTTGCCAGTCCAGTTCATGGCAGCGAGCCTGGCTGTGCTGCCCCTGCAGCCCAGCTTCCTTATTGCTCAGCACTGAGCCTGTCCCACCATGCTCTTTGTCTTCTGCTGGCAGCTGCAATTCTGCTGCTGACTTTGAGGAGGGGAGGCAGAGCCATGACTGTACTTCCCTTGCCACCAGTCTGCCTGGGAAAGGAGCCTGACAGCTCCTCTGTTCAGCCTCGTGGAGAGCACATGCTGGTGTGGAGCACTGATAGGAAATTGGAAGAGATCATGACCCTCTGCTCTTCCACTACTGCACAATTGAAGCCCCAAGGCAGCTGTAAGGCTTTAAGCTTGGCTGTTGTCCTTGGTCAGGATAATTGCAGAGACAAATCACTAGGAATTCAAAGCAACTCCTTCATACAAGTTCCAAGGGCATGTTTAGTACCACAGCACAAGCCCATGCCTTGACTAACAACTCAAGAAACTTCCATCTCCTACCCCTACTGGGATGTTGGCAGCAGTTCACTACCTGTGCAGAACCAGTTAACCCCCAGTAGACCTCTGCTCCAGGCATACACTAGCCAAAAATGTTCTAACATGGGACTTTGTGCATCAGCAGCATCCTGTTAGCTGTGTACACTTGCTTCCAGACCATGACCTTGCTCACCTGCATGAACCCTTAAGTGACTTGCAAGCTCTTGCTTGCTTGCTGCTCTTTCTCAGGAAATAACCCAGCCAGTGGCTAGATTTTACTGTCCTTGCCTTGTTCCCTCTTGTAGTTCTATCTCTGTCCATTCAGAAGTGTTAACATTGTTTTAAAGGATACGGAAAAAGAATAACATAGACAGCTATTTTTTTTTTTCTTTTTTATTTGACATCTTGGGCCAATGTGGCAACCTCATCTGCAATGATTTTATTTTGTGAAAATTTATTTTTATATTTCGTGTAACAGTCAAAATTCGTACTGCTGAAAATGCCATTTTTTTTTTTTCTGTGGGATTTTCCCTTCCATTGCCATCAGAGTATTTATTGTTGTGAAATGGAAGCCTGGTGGGGCTTTATGAGCTAATATTTTCTACAAACACCCCAGTCCAGGCCCTGCTGCTTGTATCATCTGGTGCACTTGTGAAAACTGGATGGGGAAAAATCCTGCCAAATCAAAAAGTGGTTGTGCTTTGTACTCGCTGTGTATGGGGAAAAATGGTGACCCTCTGCACAATGCAAGGGGAAATCCCCAACTAGGAATTCAGCCCTCCCTGGGCCTCTGTAGCTGGCTGTGATGGGCTTTCTTGCACTGCAGTTAGCTGATGTAACTTCTGTCTGTCTTTAATCAGAAAAGTCATGAAGGCCCTGAGCCTGCTGACGTTTGAAGAAGCTATTAATTCAGGAGGAATGCTCCTGTATCCAAGTTGTTGACTTCAGTGGGAGTGAGTGAAAATGATAAGAGAGAGAACTCTGGTTGATTTTTGTTTGGAAGCTGGGTAAAGTCTGAAGAACACGTCAGTGCCCACTCTGTGGAGCTGCAGGATCTCCTCAATGGCCTCCTTGGGCCAGCCAAGCTCTCCAGCAATGGCACCAAGAGGCAAGAGCCCAAGGGAAGGATCCCAGTAGCATCTGGTGCTTCCTTGGGTGCCTTCAGGGCGTGCTGAATGCTTTACGGGCTGCTTTGCTCTGTCCTCCCTTAGTCCTTACCTTTTTATTCTTATTCCCCACCTTTATTCATTTGCTGTCCCTTGTAAGTGTTTCTCCTGTTTTATTTTTCCATAGCCCTTGTGAACAGGGGGCCCGAACGTTTTGTTAGATGGGGCTGACACCTACTGAGAGAGACAGAAATGCTAGGAATGGTAGCTGAGGAAAGCATGTAGTAAACGGGGTATAAACAGAGCAATTGTTCGTCTAACGTACCTTGTGGGACTCATACAGTCAGCAGGTTAGAGACTTTCCAAGGCAAGGGTTGCAGCTGGAATTGTGTGTTTGGTATCCACTTTTGGAAGGAGATGCCATGGTCCCATTGAAGTCAAGAAGAGTTGAGTTAAAATCATGGATGAACAAAGAGCCAATCCATCTTGGGGCTCAGCAGCCACAGTTCTGCTGAGAGTCAAGAAGATACAGCTTGTGTAGGTGAGATGCAAAATCAGCACCTTGCACGTGTGTCCCTGGACAGAGGCACAATGAAGTTGATTGTTTCTTTTTAAAAGATCAGAGCAATATTTCCTTCTTATAACAGAAAAATATTTAAGTAACTTTTTTTTCCTTGTCTTCTCTCGCCAAGTTTCAGTAGCTTTGCCTATGGTTTTGCTCTGGATTTAATAGCATGTCAGAGCCCTTGCTGGGACTGCTGCCCAGGTCGTTCAGGTCTTGCATCCCTTTCTGACTCTGTGCATTAACAAGGCAACAGGTGCCACGTGGAAAATTCATCACCGTGAAATCCTGGCACTTCCTAATCCTCCATAGCAGGCACATCTCACCAGCAAGAGCTCTTGCCACCTCCTCGCCTCTGTCTGAAGCACAATGGTCTGCAAAAGAGAGGTTGGGCGGACCCGAGTGATTGTGCCTTACATGCAGGGATACTCAATGTCTTCAGCAGGCTGATCTGAGTCACCTTGCTATGAAACACTGTCTTAATGTGGACTGTACAGCTTCCTGCAGCGAGAAGCAGTTGTCGTCATGTGGATAGATCCAACAGGTTAATCTCATCTTTTTTTAAAGAACTTCGTGGTTTTGAACTTAGTAGGGGTGGGAAAATATCAGCTTTTAGGGGACAGATGAAGTCTCATCATTGAATGTCTCCTCTTGGGGAGGAAGGACAGAAGTTACAAATGCTGCAGTCTGCTTCACTCTGTAAAAGGGATCTTGTATGTACAGTATTTTTATATCTCTGCATTCCCACCTTTCAGGATTTGAATCACGATTAATAACATTCTCTTAGGGGGAAAAAAATGGATTTTTATTTTTACAGTGCTAGACCTTTGTGCATTTTAATTTTGTGCCAAATTACAGCCACTGTTACATTCTAGTGTGTTCATTCAGTTTATTGCTATTGATCAATGTGTATATTATATATTTTTATTATCAAGGTTTTTATTTTAAGTCATATTAACCTGTATGCAAACTAATTGTGGATTGCTAATTTATATATAAAAGGGGAGCACTTGGAGACAGTGTGAGGATTCCCCTACTTAGTTTACACTCTTGTAATCTAGTGCAGCCAGTCTATGAAACTCATTGCTTCTTACACAGAATGATCTCCTGGGTGTCTGTCACCCTGAGCAAATTGCTCCTGCTGTTCCTCCAGGCAGCACTGACACTGCAAGGCTGTGTGAGATGCAGTAGGAAACAAAGCACAGCTCATAGCATGGACTGATGGGTGACCGAGCTCTCTGCTGTCCCGCTCCTGGCAGCCATGCCAGGGAGGATGCTG